TGGCCTCAGTGAGGGTTTCAAGTTAGCAATTGGTTTGTGTTAAAAAAACATTTTAAATTGATTCTCTTAAATACAATTGGTTGTAGATTTAGAAATGGCCCTAAATAAACAGTAGATGGCTATTAAAATATTGACGGCAGCAGCATGGTCTGGTGGACTGAGCATGGAACTGGAAGCCAAGAACTCATGAGGTCTAATCCCAGCTCCACTACCACCACAGTGAAGCTCTGTGCAAGTCACTGAAACGTGTCTGTTTCCCCACCTATAAAATAAGTATACTGCTTACCTCCCAGGAGTCTTGTGAGAATTAGCTAATTGTTGTACAGATTGTTGAATCTGGAAAGTGCTACATAAATGCTAAGCATTATTAATACAAAGGCAGGATTATTGAGTATAGATTTGTTTTTGGTGAAGGGGAATCACTCCTCATAATCTTAATTGTTTGTAATGAACAACTGGGATTATTGCTTAAATTAAATTAAGGCTGTATGATCTGGTCCAGAAGTGATTGTAGCAGCCTTAAGAAAATGACATCAAAAGTCTCTTTGCTCTGCTCATACTGACTTTCCACTTTGGACGGTAAAGTTGTAGGATGAGACCATGATGCCCGAGTTTCCACCAGTTGGCATTCACAAAGCTACTACAGGACAGGCCCAACAAAGAAAATAACAGAACGCCACTAGCTGCCACCTTCAGCCCCCAACTGAAACCTCTCCAGCGCATCATCAAAGATCTACAACCTATCCTGAAAGATGATCCCTCACTCTTACACAACTTGGGAGACAGACCAGTCCTCGCTTACAGACAGCCTCCCAACCTTAAGCAAATACTCACCAGCAACCGCACCCCATACAACAAAAACACTAACCCAGGAACCTATCCTTGCAACAAAGCCCGATGCCAGCTCTGTCCACATATCTATTCAAGTGACACCATCATAGGACCTAACCACGTCAGCCACGCCATCAGGGGCTCGTTCACCTGCACATCTACCAACATGATATAGGCCATCATGTGCCAGCAATGCCCCTCTGCCATGTACATTGGCCAAACTGGACAGTCTCTATGCAAAAGAATAAATGGACACAAATCTGACATCAGGAATCATAACATTCAAAAACCAGTGGGAGAATACTTTAACCTCTCTAATCACTCAGTGACAGACTTGAAGGTGTCAGTTTTGCAACAAAAAAACTTCAAAAACAGACTCCAAAGAGAGACTGCTGAACTCGAATTAATATGCAAATTAGACACAATTAACTTAGGCCTAAACAGAGACTGGGAATGGTTGGGTCATTACACTAATTGAATTCCCCCCCCCCACCAATGTTAAATTCTCCTCACACCTTCTATGGGTCATCTCGATTATCACTTCAAAGTTTTTTCTTCTGCTGCTACTGATAGCTCATCTCAATTGATTGGCCTCTTACAATTGGTATGCGTACTTCCACCTTTTCATGTTCTCTGTATGTATAAATATCTTCTGTCTGTGTGTTTCACTCTATGCATCTGAAGAAGTGAGCTGTAGCCCACGAAAGCTTATGCTGAAATAAATTTGTTAGTCTCTAAGGTGCCACAAGTACTCCTGTTCTTTTTGCGGATACAGACTAACACGGCTGCTACTTTGTAATAAGTCCTGACGCTGTCCCACAGCTAATGAGCTGCTCAGGTCCCAGAGACCCCAAGGCAAAATTCTTAAACTAGGAGGTGGGGAATGTCTGTTTTGCTAGTGGGGCCCAAACCTGTAGGTGTGCTTTCAGCATGCCTTATACCTGTCAAACCCTGCAGTAGGAGGGCCAGACGCAGAGCATCTACACACAAAAAATGGCTAGGGACACAGGGAAATGGAAGGCAAGTGTGAGAATGGTGAGCAGGAGAGACAGAGAGAGAGAGATGATTTGGCTGCTATGATATTGGGCTCTCTAAGCAGCTGACGTGGCCTAAGTACCTAGCTCTAGGAGAGGATTTGCAGCTAAGGATCCTGAGTGATGGGAGGCACTAATCTCCAGTCCATCAGCCGGACTTGCTGTGTCAGTTGCTTAGACACCCAAGCCCTTCTCCTTTCCTGGGCCTCCTGCTCCTGGCAAGCTTAGGTGGCTTCTTAGGATCCTTGTCTTAAGTGCTTAACTCTCCCTATGAATTGTGTGGGAAGCTTGGGTACCTATCTCAGGACTGAGGATTCCACTAGACACCTGGCATCTAGGGGTTAGTTATTGGAATGCTGAGCAGAGCAACGCCTGTGTCCTTTGAGGATCTGGACCTCAGTGTCTCCATCTGTAATAAGAAGATGATACTTAAACCCACCTGTGCTTGTGTTTTCAGATGAAAAATCCGGTAGAAGTGCAGTGGTATTGGTGTTATAGTGGTTAGTGAGTTCACTAACTGCCAGCTCCTCCCCTGCTCCCAACCAGCTTTTCATAAGGGTTGTCCTGCTCCTAGTGATGCTAGAAAGTGCCAGTGTAGCTTATGTCTCTCTTGGAAAAAAATACCAAAAAAGTATTTGCATCTACACTAGGCCTTATAATATAGTAGCTTTAAAAAAAATCACTAACATACATCATTATGCCAGTATAAGCTTTAAGTGTAGACCAGGCTTAACATCTGGTATTTGTGAGCCACCATGGCTAGAAATTAGGGTTACCATATTTTGAGCCTCCAAAAGGAGGACACTCCACGGGGCCCTGGCCCCGCCCCCAGCCCCGCCCATGCCCCAACTCCGCCCCCTCCCCTGCTTCCCGCGAACATTTGATTCACGGGAAGCCTGAAGCAGGTAAGGGGGGTCTGGGGGAGGAGGCGCGGCCCAGTCTGGCCCCCCCGGCGTCTCCAGCCTGGGTTGGCTCGGGCTCTGGGGTGCCGGCCCGGGGCCCGGCCCCCGGCCGAGCACCCCCGGCCCGCCCAGCACTGCCGGTCCCCGGCCCCCGGGCCCCCAGCCAAGCACCCCCGGCCCGCCCAGCACTGCTGGTCCCTGGCCCCGGCTCGGCACCGCCGGCCCCCGAGCCCCCGGCCCGGCTCGGCACCGCCGGCCCCCAAGCCCCCGGCCCGGCTCGGCACCGCCGGCCCCACATGTCCCGATTTTCCCGGACATGTCCGGCTTTTTGGGATTTCCCCCCGGACGGGGATTTGGAGCCCAAAAAGCCGGACGTGTCTGGGAAAATCCGGACGTATGGTAACCCTACTAGAAATGAATGCTATATATCACTGGAAAGCTAGAGATCTCTGCTTTTCTGTGATTTGTGTCCACTCATTACTATTTGTATAGGCCCACATTAGGCGTTTTAAATTGTTTGGATTTTAACATGAGTGATAGGCCCGAAGTATGTGACCAAAAAGAATAAACTCATGAGAAATGTGGTTTGTTTGTGTTAAACTCATAGTGACCTTGGAAATACCAGTGTTATCTTATTTAAAGTTTGGGCTAAGCTATAGAAATAAACAAAACATGGTTAAGTGGACACCAGGTGCAGTATGTAACTGGTTAGAAATGCTTAGTCCAGTAGCTGGGGGAAAATGTGGTAAAGTGAAATAAGGAGAAATCCTTGAAGAAAGCAGAGTGCACTCTAAACTGCTTCAGCTTACTTTAGCTAAGGTCCACTAACCATCAAAGACATTACTTGTTTGTTATATAAAGCAGCAATGTTTTCTAGGGGTTCTTTGTCAGAGCTTTTCCTTGCCCTTCTGGAGCCACGCCATGATGGGAAGGTATTTCCTGGCCCAGATCTGGTTGTGTGTATTTGGCCAATGCTTACAGTAACTGTTATTGTTACTAAGGTATAGAATACAGGTATATATGCTTATATTTGTATTTTGAATGTAGCCAGCACCAAGTGGCCTTAGGACTAATAAAGAAATGCTTGTGTGGAAACTGAGTTGTGGTAAACCTTAATAAAATTATTGAATGTTTATGACATAAGAACTTTAAATCAGAGTTTTCTTATTACCATGTTTTATTCTCAGCCTTTCAGGTTTGATATACTAATTGAGGCCAGTGTCTCAAAACAGACTGTTAGAACTGGAACCAAGTCTGTGTATTTTATGAAAGCTTTCAAGTCTTATACAGTGATAATTTCTAATTCTCGGTGTCCATAATATGATAACATAGTGAAAATATTTGAGTAAACAAAGCCATGGACCCATGCTGTGAGGTGCACTATTTCACATATTCTCAAGGATAAACAGGGTTTGGCAAACTAGTACAAATATTCTCAGGACCAGTAACTTTTCTAAGCGCTAGTCCCGGACCAACAGTGATCAGAAAGAAAGATTATCAATCCCTGTGGATAATACAGCCACAAAACAGAATTTGATTGGGAATAGTCTCTGGATTCACTTTACAAATGCTAAAATAATGAGTAATGCTAAAGTTAAATAATTTGAGTACCAGAGCAAAGACAGATCAGTTTCTATGACTGATTTGGAACAAGAGAGAACTAATTAAAGAATAGAAGGCAGGAGCAAATTTATTTATATTTCTGCACTGCGGACTTTCTGGGAGCATGAACCATGTGTAACTTCAACTCAGTTTTACAATTCATGTGCTTTAGGGATGATGATCCCTTGGGTGTGGATCTACGGAGACCTTAGGGAATAAATGAACTCTGTTTTCTTCTTTCTGTGCAAGATCTTTATAGCCTGCAAGCATACTAAATCTTTGTTACAATATTTTCACTTTGCAGAAAAGGTCCACGTTGTATCCGGAAAGGATGAAAAAAAATACATCTTGTTTTATCTCCGCTGTTGAATAAATAAGCATTCTTATACAAGTGTAATAACTTTCTCTTTCAGTAGTCTATAGCACAATAATAACAAGTTCAGATTTGTAAGATGTATTAACATTAATGAATTACAGAACAAGGGTGGATATTTTTATTTCCTTGGATTGTTTGCCCATTCACTCATTTTGCTTTTAACTCTCATTTCTTTCCTTTCTCAGAGATCTCAACTGTATTAACTGTGTGATAAGCAAAGGTTTTAGTGGTTAATTCCAGTGTCTTGTTTTCCAGGTATTCCTGCATTTAAAATACTCATGCCTGCACTGTCTCCTACAATGGAGGAAGGAAATATTGTGAAATGGTTAAAAAAGGAAGGTGAGAGACAATTATCTAAAATGACATATTTAGTGAGCTATGCATTGGTTCTCCAACTCATTATGTGGACTATTTTGTAAGAGCAGGATCATTTACTGGGTGCCAACTCTCTACCGAATACCCCATCCACAAATTGCTGGTTCTCAAAAATGTTTCTTCCTGCTGCCTACCAAGGACAAGTTCCATGGACCACCGGTTCGCTGGTCACAGTCTGAAAACTACCTCTAAGCTACTCTGTTAACATATTTTGTATTTTTGCAAATACATTCTTAACTCTTAAGTCAAGAAGCATCTTCGCGCTCTGCTTCTGAGAGCGTGTGTGTTTTTAAAAAAAATAGTAATGGACAAGTAATATTGTAGATCATGAATAATGTACACATGACTAGATTCTCATGAAATATCACAAATGATTTTTGGAATGATTCACCAATATAGAAATCCTAGATAACTTCAGAGGTGTTGTGAAATCTCTGTTATTACATTCCCAAGTTCTTATAGCAATTTGAGTTTAAACTGTGTTTTGCGAAAGAAACCCCTGTATGTGGTAATATTTCCTTATCAATGTAATGTGAAACTTTAGTTTGTACTAACTAAACTTTATTTGAATCTTTAAGGGTGGATATATACCCATCATTGGCACACTAGAATCATTAAGCTAAACACTTAGGCCTTGTCTACACTAGTTTTGTTGACGCAAGTTACGCTGACGTACAGCCACCACTGGAATTTAAACTGCTGATGCATGTCCACACTAGACTTCTTGTGTGGGAGGAGTGCATCCCCAATAGCAGCACAAGAGCAGTGCATTGTGGATAGCTATCCCACTATGCAAATGGCTGCAGGGTGCTTTGGGAAGGATTTGCAGTGCCTCATGAGGGCAGGTACAGCGTCACTTTCTCAATCCCATTGTTCCATGAGCATCCAACTAGATTGCTTGCTGCTTTTCAACTGCTCTGGTAACCTGCAGCCCAGCCATCTCTGGCAGGGGGAGGAGGACACCCCACCTCTCTCCCTGGCTCTTCACAGCACAGCAGGAATCCCCCACCTCTGTCCCAGCAGCAGCCCGCCATGCCTTCCTGCCACTGTGGTCCTAGTGCCGGGGAGAGCAGGATTCAGTGTTAATCTTTTGATTCCTTGATTCCCTCTGAGTTCTCCCACAGCCTTCTCTCCCCAAAGACCAAGGAGATCCACTCCTTTCCCTGTAGTTCTGGCAAGAGTGTGTTTGTTGCTGAGAGCCGGCGAGTTCAGCTGGGCAGTAGTTATGTGAGCTCTGTATGCTGAGCAATTTCAAAATTTCTTGGGACTTTGAAAGGGGAGGGATGCATGCTTGTATAGCTGGATGCATGGCAGCAGAGTTCAAAATGGTGAACAGAACAGTCACAGTGGGCATTGTAGGATACCTCCTCGAGGCCAGTTACGGCAACGTAACGAATGCAGTCTCTACACTGACACCAAGGGCTTGTCTACACAACCAAGTTTTGTCAACAAAACTTATGTCGACACCCGAAAGACGACAAAACAAAAATCGCCAAAGGGTATTCACACTTGCTCCCTCTGTCGACAGATCATGTCCACATTGGGGGCACCATCATCGACCGGGTGAGCAATGCACCATGGGTATATATCCCAGTGTGACCCAATGCACCCTTGTATTCACACCTTATACACCACTGTAATAATCTTTGTACAAAATATGCCTTGTGAGGTATCATTTGAAAAGTAATATCTTGCTGGTCAGTAATATCCTGGTGAAATTTATGCAACAACACTGTAGGTGAAGTTATAATTTCCCCCTGTATGATGATGATAGCACATGTTCAAACCCACATAGAGCTGCTTAACCACACTTTGTTCCTCAAACGAGCAGCACACCGTTACTTCAGAGATCAAAACACTGAGCAGAGCAATCAGGGCAGGCATTGTGGGATACTGGCAGAAGCCAGTTCTGTGGACAAAATAATCAGCAGTGTCTACACTGGCTCTTTGTCGTCAATGAAGGGAGGGGAAAAGACAAGTCTCTCATAGAGGTGGAAGTTTTTTTGTGACCAAAACTGGGCGTTTTTCGCGACAAAAGTCCCATTGTAGTGTGCAGGGCTGACCGGGGGGGGGGGGGGGGGGGGGGGGCGGGGTGGTGGAGATTCCTGGGGCCCGGCGGTCCGGAGGGGGGCTTGGGGCCCGGGCTCCCCCCTGGCCTCCCCCGTCGCCCCTGTTTAGCCGGTCCACCCTTGCTGGGGGGCCCGAAAAAATTTTTTTCACCGGGGCCCGAACCCGCTCTCAGCGGCCCTGGTAGTGTGTACGCTCTTGCCTTTTGGCGACAAAACAGCAGTTTTTTGACCACAGAACTTGATAGTGTAGATGAGTCGATCTATCTTTGCCAGAACAAGCTTTACGCCTCTTGTCAAAATGGTTTTATTTTGTTGGCAAAGCAGGAGAGTTTTGTTGGTGGGAGGAGCATTGTAGTGTGAACATCTCCACTGGTTTGTCGATAAAAGCTGCCTTTTGCCAACACAACTGTGTAGTGTAGACAAGGCCTTAGTTGTCCTAATTATCATCTTGTGACCTTTCACGCTATGGGTTTGATTTATTTATTCCCCCAGAAGTGCTAAGTACTTGCAGCTTCTTTTGATTTCAGTTGAAGTAGTGGGTGCTTGGCACCTTTGAAAATCAGGCTTCATGGCTTTTGGGGGGGCAACATGTTTGTGTTAGGTTTGGAGCTGCCTATGATTATGAATACTATGGTTCTGTGTGATTATTTCTAGGAGCTTCATTGTGTGACTAAATTGGGTTAATTCACCAAAGAGACTGTTTACCTGCAGGTAGGAGGAAGAGAGCAATAGCCAGATAATATTTATCAGCAAAAACTGAATGGACAGTGCTGGAGCCATTGGCTGTAATGTGCTGGATAGACACATTTCCCCCACCCACCCCAACTGGGCTTGCTAAACTGTTTTTTCCAGGAATGACTTAACACTGAGAAGAGGGGAGGAGGGGTGAAATCAAAGGGTTTAAAGAGAGACACATTCTTGAGGAGGTCAGATGGTTAAGGGGGAGACTTAGGCAGATAGTGTTGGGGAGCAGACTGAAACCCAGATTACAGAGGGTTGGGAGAATGGGGTAAAATAGGCCTGCCTAACTCTTAAATAAGGGTTTTTGTACACAGCAAGCTACCACGTGGCAAGCCAGGTTATGAATCTTCAACTCACCAGCTTGCTGCACAGTAATAGTCCATATGGACGTTGCTAGAGTTCAGTGAAAGTCCCGGAGTGCTTCTTAGCATATTACACTTCGAAGTAGTAGTACACCAAATGCCTTCTGGGGCTTTCACTGCACTGCAACAGCTGCATAGGATGTTGCTGTGCGGCAAGCTGGTGAGCTATAGATTCATACCCAGGCTTGCTGAACAGTAACTTGCTGTGTAGATAAGCCTAAGATAGTTATGTGTATAAACTGGTTTATTGCTTTCAAAATTCTTTCTCTTGTTATGCTGTGTTCCTGCTGTTAGGATTAAACAATACTTTGTTTTAAGAAAGCTGTTTGGTTCATTGTATTTACTGCTGGTCACAGCTCCCAAAAGGAAGAACTGCAGGTACTGAGTCTTGCAGGACCCATTAAGCGTAATTAGAGGTGGTACACACAGGGCTGTAGCCCAGGGCCCCAGTTCTAAGAGTGGGAGAGTCACATGTTTCACCCCAAAGGGGTGAAACCTCAAGGCCTAAACCTGGCTGGCCTGTACTCAGACAGACCAGAGCAGTGTCAAAGGTGCAGCTATCCCTGAACTGTGATAAAGTTACAAGCTAAGTTACATAATTCTTATGTTTCTTCCTACTAGTAAATTATGAAAGACAAGGAACTGTTATGGTGGGTATTCAGGGCTGACATTTTAATAATTAAATGACAGTCTATTCTTAAAGCTAATGGAAACTGAACAAATTTAAGTTGCCTAGATGTATCTCTAAATCTGGAAAGACTCATTTCCAAAACCCATTTACGTTGTGTGAAAAGATATTTTGGGTACTCGTTTATCTCTTGCTCTCTGAGGTCTGTCACCTGAAAAGTAATTGACCTTTATTAGAATGTGTTGGCTCTGCTAGATGAATGACCTTTGCAGTATTTTGTATCTTCACATGCCTTGGCTGTAAATGAGGGTGCTCTAGCTCCATAGGTTGAATCAGAAGAATCATTGGTTCATACTCTGTCATCAAGAAAACCTGTTTCTTTTTAGCTCTCTTGTCCCAGATTCCATGAAAATTCAAGTTAAGGCTGGATTTTAAATTTAATAATGGAGCTCCGGGAAAGCAACATGTTTATGGCCCAATAGGAGCCATAAAGTTTGCAGTTGTACCTTTATGCCCTGCTTGGCCTTTAGGGACCAGTAAGATTATATCTTGGGCTCTAAAGACCACTGTTAGTTTCACTTTAGAGATAGGTGTAGTCTGAGCACAGAGCTGGGAGCGAAGACCTCCTGAAGTCTAATGCTAGCTCTGATACAGACTTCTTCTGTGGTCTTGAGTGTATTTTTAAGTATTTTTTTTCTGCATCAGTATCCTTTTCTAGAAAGTGGGGATAATACTTACGGTGACTGGGTACCTCATAGAAGTGTTGAAAATGACTTAGAAATTAGGCTAGGTACTTATCATAGAAGGTCAGGGTTGGAAGGGACCTCAGGAGGTCATCTAGTCCAACCGCCTGCTCAAAGCAGGACCAATCCCCAGACAGATTTTTTGCCCCAAATCCCTAAATGGCCCCCTCAAGGATTGAACTCACAACCCTGGGTTTAGCAGGCCAATGCTCAAACTTATATGGCCCTTATTACCATAGTATCAGCATGCTTAATGTTTGTATGTGCTTTGACTATGTGGAAAGTACTATTACTATATATATATTTTTTCCCAAATTTAGTTACACTTAAGAAATCATTACTCTTATTCAAGGTTAAAATTCAGTTTGTATTTTGACAAAATTCTTTGAGAACTTCAGATCAGAGGTACTGTAGAAGAGCC